CCCCGTTTGGGCAGCGTCCTGCATACACCATGCACAGACCCACAGGAACCCCCGTGGACCTCCCCCTGGCTCTCCTCCAGCTCCTCCTGTCTGCATTTCGCCCAGGAGCGGAGTTTAATGGGATGGCACAACTGGAATTTTGAAACCCGAGCTGTATCCGTCAGGAGATTTAATTCTGATCTGCACAGATTTGCCTACAGAAGGACTTGGTGTTGGGGTAAAGCACATTCTCCCCAAATTCCTGCTCGGCAGCTTCTCTCCCCATGGAAGCCCTGACACAGCCCCGCAGCCCCTTCCCTCCCTGGGACTGCTCTCAGGACCTGCTCTGTGACGCTGGGCACATTTGGCCAGGTGCTGGCTGAGCCAGGCAGAACTGAGAAGCCATCCAAGCTCAGGACCTGTTGCCCTCATCCTCTGCTGCCCACCCAAGTCCCTGGGTGGGATTTTCTGGGGGATTTCTCTCTTTTTCCCCCAAAACAAGCACCAGCGGCCAGACAGGGAGCTCAGCTCTCAGCTTGCACTTTGCCAAAAGCCCGGCGAGCTCAGCTCGCGCAGCAGCTGGGGCTTTCTTTAAATGTCATTTTTAATATTTAATCACACTGGATGGCCTCAATATTTACAGCATAAGCCACTTCATTGGGAAGTTAAATATATCGCCGAGATATTTAAGGAAACTGATTCAGAGCCACATAAATGTAATTGCACTTAACGTGACCTGGGAATGAAATCACACCCAGTTCACTTTCCTGCAGGATCCTTAAACCCCGTTTTGAACGCGTTATGCTAAGTCCATTTCTCTCAGTGTGTTTCTGAGGCAGAACTCACTAACGCAAGAAACCCAGAGCACTGGGACAAAAAAATAAAAAATAAAATAAAGAAAAAGGAAAAAAAAAGAAAAAAAAAAAAAAAGAAAAGGAAGAGAAGTAGGATGTTTTTCTGTGATTTTTGGGCTGGTGTCGAGTCATTGCTACCTGGCCCAGGGGCTTGCTGTGGCAGGGGCTGGCTCTGCCCACGCGGGCAGCCCTGGCCTGGTCTCAGCACCCAGCAGGAATCGGTGCCAGCTGCTGCGGGAGGAGAGGATTTTCACAGCTGCTCCCCGCGAGGAGCAGGGCAGGATCAGATCTGCCGCTGATTAATCAGGAGCCGAAGCAAAACCGCCAGCTGTGCCAACGTCAGCTCTGCAGACAGGCTCCTAACAGTTCGGGGCTCACGGCTGCCAGTAGCTTTTTCTGCATAGGACAGGAAAGTTTCAAGTCCAACGCAGCCCAGAGAACTGCCTTGGTTTCTTCTCGCCTGCCCATCACCGAGAGATTTGGGCTGAGCACCCCGCTACCCCACGGGATTTACCATTCTGCAGCTTTATTTAACAGGGAAGCGGAAAACTGTCAAATGTTTTATCGCCTGTGGCAGTCAGGGCACGATACGTGCTGATAGCAGCCCAAGATGATAACGCAACGGCATAAAGTCATGCTGGAAAGAGAAAGGAATCCAGAAATCTTGGCTGGTGATCCTGCCTCCCTTTGTAATGAGCTCCTGCACCAGCAGGGGTGAAATTGCTTGCCAAAATCACATGTAATTTATCCCGTGTTTAAACACACACTGGCAACCCAATTACTGTTTTCAGGCTCGCAGAGTTTAACATATCCCTGAGTTATTGAACAGAAGCTCGCTCTCATCTCCCATAACGGGTGCCTTAATGGGTTGTGCCACCCCGCAGTGCCCCAAAACCCAAATCCCACCCAGAACACGCGGATTTGCTGGGGAACTCAATTCCTCCATCTCCTTGAAAGAAATGGGAGGAAAACAAGGTTACCTTCAAAGACACCATCTAGATGGACAACTGCTTCTTGCTGCACCCACACCCACGGAAAAACCACAGCTGTGCCAAACCAGGGGCACGACCTGCTGGGGCCTCCGGGGGTCTCGGAGATGATACAAGGGGAAAAAGAAGCCAAATATCAGCCAGCCCGGATATTTCAGCACAGGACGGAGCTCTCAGGCACACGGCTTCCCCTGCCATGTTACTATGGTGATTTCGCGATGGACAAAACCCCACGATGTGGCCGTGAGCCCCAGCTCCCAAGCAAGATGCTCATCTGCCCATTAAACAATACCAGGGTTTGTGAGTAATAATCAAAAAGCAATTACACCACACACAGACCATCGGAGCTCACCCCACCGAGCGTGAAGGTCAAATCCATTATATTAACTAGGTATCTGCCCGCTGGAAACCCGCAGCTTGGTGGACAGAATCATTACTTCTGGCGTTAATAATAATGACAAGGATCGCCAGCACTACTTCAGTTACTTACACCAACGAGAAATGCCATAAATATTGTACTAAATCACGTGCAAGCAGGCTGCATGCAGGAGATCAAACTGTATGAAGCTACCATGCCGTAGAAAAATATGTATATACACTTTAAATATGCTTTCCATACTTTATAGAGACACGGTGAATTTTGCTAACTGTTCAGGGACCCAGATTACTGAGTATTTAGGACCCAAAAGTACACGTTTTGGCAGTTAGTGCTGTACTGGGAATCACTCCTTCATTACAAGGTGCTGGTGATGCTGAGAGATGCTGGGGTGGTGTGACGGTCTTTTTGTGCTGGGGTCTTCCTCATTTTCTTTCTGCCAAAAGGTAAAGCTCTCTGCAAGGCTCCCAGAAGAGTTTGCAGGATTCCCAAACCTGTTTCCCACCGGGAGCAATGTGCTTGCACAGGCAGGGCTCTGTAAGGGGGACACCAAAGAGGAGCAACAGCAGGAGGCAGGCAGCAAAAAGGCAACAGATGGCCCAGACTTGTCGGAATTACAGCCTGTGGTACAAGCAAGAGCTCGCCATCATCCTGCCCAACAGAAGCAGCTGCCCTGGTGTCCTAAATCATTTGTTTGCCCAGCCTCTGCCCCCATCTCCCCTCAATCCTCTTCTCCCGGGAGATGCACGCAGCATCCTCGGGCCGGGCAGCAGGGTAAATTCCTTCAGCAGCACGTGTAATTTCATTACTTGAGTGACAGCAACCCATTCACTGCCTACACCGGGGCCACTATTAAAGCAATTACCTGGGATCGATGCAGGACGGCAGCAGATTTAAATCCTGCCTCGCAGCAAGGCGCTGGAACTGCTGCTCCAGACAGGTCGAACTCGTAACACCGTGTTCCCTCGGAGGCACCCAGCTGAGTGCAGCCTCTGCAAGGTCCTCGCTCATGGATCTATATAAAAACACCCTTAAAAAACCCAGTGAGGTCGTGTTGCTGCTGTTTATTCCTGCCGAGCCCTCATACAGGCAGTGTGCATGATGCCAGGGTGAATGCCAGCTCTGGACTGGGCCATGTCCCCCCAACAGCGAGCCGTGCACCCCAAAAAACAGCTGGTGGGCTTCAGGGTAGTATAGAGATCGTGAATTTTCTTTTATGGGAACTGTCAGATTTCTTGTATTTGCAGAAATCCCTGGGTAAAGACGAGCTGCACTATTAGTGTTTAAGATGTCCCGTGTTTCACGCATGCTGTGACCTGTTTGCCCCACGGCCCCAGGCCATGCAAACACTGTGGCACCCGCATGAGCTGCCCAAGTTTTTTGGCTTTTTGCCACTGACTCAATGCTCTCAATGAGGTTCTGGCTTTCCAGGCGTACTTGGGTTCACCAAGGCACCGTCCAGGTGAGTTCAGGATGCTCTGTAATGCCTGGGGAGCTGCTGGGCACTGGTTATTTTTGCAGCTTCCCACTTTACGACATTCTCTGGTTCTTCAAACTGTTATTCAGCGTTTCTTGCCTTATTTGCAGACTAAATCCCTGCCTGGTGATGGCTGCCACGGGGGCTCAGGGTTCTCTTTCCTCCTCCCTCCTTCCCCTCCCATCCCTGAGCCCTGCAGATACCAGCAGCCTCTTGCAGGCACCGTATCTGCACATCTCAGGCGCGTTACGACGGCGGCGAATTGCTTCCATGTGCAAAGATCAAGACAGCTTTAAAGGGGAGGCTGCTGGCTGCAGCTGATCCCATCGCAAGCTTTTGCTAGGCTACAGCTTATTTTATGGTAGGCCTTAAAACATCCCAGCACCTTACAGCGAGGGACCTTCACTCAACGGTGTGAGGTTTGTGGATGGAGAGTACCAGCAGAGTACGGTGGCAGAGGAAACCCCAAATGAGCAGAGAACCCCAAACCCAGCAGAGAAAAGGAGGCAGAGGAAACCCCAAACGAGGAAACCCCAAACGAGGAAGCAAAGCGTTTCGCAGAAGGCGGGCTTGGCCCTGGGAGCCCGGCGATGATGGGAGGGAAGGAAGGACGTCATCCAAAACAACAGCTAGGCGGCGAGGCGAGGGGATGAGAGGCAGCTCTCCCTGCAGCAGATGGTGCAGATGTTCCTCTTCATCCACCCTCCATATGTTCAGACGAAACCCAACAGCTCTGCAGCTTTACTCTGGTGGAAACGGCGCTCTACGGGTGCACCAGGTGCCACGCGAGAGGCACAAACACACGGCACACATCACGTCTCCTCCCCACCCATCACCACAGCTCATCTTGCCAGGCAAGGAATCCTCCTGGGGCACCTGTCCGTGCAGAGATGTGATGGGAGGCTCAACCCAAAGGCCTGGGAGGAAAGGAAAACGTGATCTGATGCAGACCAGGCGAGGAGTGTGACCGCCAGCCACCTCCAGCAGGTCCCCACGCCAGGGGGATGTCAGACGCAGCACCTCTGCTGCATCCCTCCCAGCAGCCAGTCTCTCATCCCCGCCAGGAGCCCGAATGCCAAACTGGACATAAAACGCGAGGCTGCAGCCCCCGCTCTGAAGCCTGCTGCTCATCACAAGGCAGCCGGTGATGGAGCCTCACAGCGCTGTAATCTGGTTTAATGGATGGCGAGAAGGGTGAGCTGGGCTCCGGCCAATTCGGAGCACTGAGCACCTTGTGCCTCCTCCGCACGGATCGATTTTCGCATTGGGTTTACAGGCGTAATTAATATTCATTCAGGATTAAGCCGAATAAGATTCCCAATGCATGAAGATGTTTATTATTTATTCATATTTAAGGCTTGTTAGATTAATCTATTTTAAATTACTGCATGCTGCCAGGCACAATTATTATAATTTATTAGGATAATTTCGGTGCTTTATTTCCATCTGAGACAACCTTGCAGAAGGTGCGTGCTGCTCCTCGCCTGCTCCGTAAAGCAACCCATGCTGCTGCTAACCGAGCAGTTCCCTTCCAGCAGCAGTAGCTCAAGGCTTATCCCAGCTGAACACCGTAAAGCAACGGGCATCGCTTGGTAGCTCCAGGAAACCCTGAGGATCCTTCCTGCCTCTGCTTCCTGGGTGTAAACAGCTCCGCCTGACCTTTTGCTGAAGTGGTGCTCAGAGCAAGGGGTTAAGAACGTGGAAATCAAGTCTTCAGCTCCACGCTGTGCAAAAGACTTCATCTCATTTCTTTTTTCTTTCTTTAAAAAAAAAAAAACTACATATTTGCTTAAAAGCTGCAGAAACCATTATTACATTTAATTGATGCCCTTAGGGGCTCGAAGCTTTCATGAAATTTAATTATTTTGCACTAGGGCTTGCAAGGTAAAGGTGCAATTACAGCAGAAAAGGCCGCTGCTCGCATGGAGGGAGGGATGGCTGCCACGAAAGCCCCGTGGCAGTGCCGCCACCGCTAAGCACAGATCCAGGCTGCACCATCATCTGCTGCAGCCACCGCAGGTCCCCTCCACTCATTTTGGCCTTTAAAAATGAATTAAAAACAAGGCAGACCAACGTGACTCAATACAGGACATATGAAGCTGCCATAATTACAGCGAGCATTGCTTCGTTCAGCAGTGTCCTCCCAGCAGAGCTGAAGACAGCGCGCACCCAGCAGGGTGCAGAAACGGGAACCCCCTGCTCCTGAGATGGGTTTGGGGCAAGCCCTTGCCACATCGATAAAATAAAGGAAATGTCGAGACACAACTGGCTGCTAACCAGTCGGTCCATGCTTGTACATCACCATAAAAATCTTCTCACCTTTGGAAAGCCATGAGTTTTCCCTGAGAGCACTCGGCGTGCCAGCACAGGAGGACAGACAGATGAGAGCTGCTTTGAGGTGCCACCAGCACCCCCGTGACTTCTCCCCCAGAAGGGCCACGCAGCGCACGCTCTTCTGAAGCCAGCTGCTTAATCAGAGTCTCCCAGGAGTAAATGCAGCCAGCAGAAAAAAGAAAAAAAGACCAACTTTTTAACATAAAAGAGAAAAAGGCCTCCTTTGAGTTAAACAAATGATTTTCTGACAAAGAACGTCCTGGGGACAGGAAGACAATGTCTTGCTTTTGATGCTGCAGTGCTGTTCGTGAGATTAATGGTTGCACAGTTAAGATTTTACCCCAATTATAAATCTCCCTTAGCAAGTAACAAAATATAATTTAGTCTTATCTAATGGCAGACTAAATTTTAGCTATGCTTTGACTGGTAGTTTTCAGGCAGAGAATTTGAGAGCATTCACACAATTATTCCAGTGTGCCCTTCCTGGAATGCCTCCGACTTCAATATTAGGCTTTTGACATCCAGGGTCATGTCCCATCAGCAATAAGCAAACAATATTGGGGTGTTTGCCTTCTTCTCCCATGTGGGGCAGCCTCCAGTTTCCTGTACATTGATGAACAGTGGAGGAAAATCCCTCTCTCGCTGTGGCCAAACTCCCAAGAGGGAAAAAGCTGCCCATTAAACTTCGATCCAACCAAAGACCCAGAGCAGATTCCACCCCAAGTTCTAAATGAAACGACCAAAACCCAAACAAAGTAAATGCTACAGCCCTCATGCTCCTTTAGGTCCCCAGACTGAACTGCAATGTTTGCTGGGGAATCAAAACCACCATTTTCAAAGCAATGGCTTTTCCCCCCAGGATGTTGGACCAAGCAAATACAAAACACATCCAATATTTTTGACACCCCGTAAGCTGTTATTTTAAACACAGTTTCAATAAACTACAAAAGTTGATACTGTTAGAGGCTTGAAAATATACGATCTCATTAAAAAACGCTGGCACTTAGAAAGATCTCTAGTGGCCAATCACAGCTTGGGGAGTGCTGTAATTTATAACTTTGATCCCCACAGCTAAACCATTTAATCTGATAATAAACATCAATCACTGATTTTTATTGCACCATTTTGCAGCCTGAGCAAAAAACCTTGCTCTCGCGGACAAATTAGGCACCCCAAAGTGACTCTTGCAAATAAATACCGACTTTAATATTCAGCAATATAATTCCATGGGATCAATTTTTTTATTTAAGCACTACTGGAGCTAGGAAAAAGTTTGTAACTACAGAAGTATCTACAAAGGCAATTCAGTCCAGTGTAATAGCACCTGGCAAGCAGGAGCCTGCCTCTCCAGCAGCTCAGTGACAACACATACTTACCATTACGTCTGTTACAGTTGTCGTCAGAAAGTTATTAAGTGTGTCCAGATATTCTGTGTGACAGCCCATAACTCACCATTAAAAACGATGCAAGATCCTATTACGTTCCCATGCAGACTGGCGTTGGCTCGAGGTACTAATCCACAATCTACCACTCAATAGCAGGGGAAATGGATCAGTCAGGCATAATACATTGTGCAAATGGATAACTGCCAGAAAAAATAAATCAGTTGGAGCCCATTAATATATAATGATGTCCAAGCTACCATTAATTCAGATACTCTTTCCCAACCAGAGAGCTATTTAAGAAGTAACTGAAATAATGATTTTCTTTTGGGCACATCAAACGTCCATCACTGCTTCATGATGGATTCTTGTAGTCAGTGGAACAAGGCAGCTCTTCAGTATGCTTTCTGTCATGTTTTCCTGTAAACTGATATTTTCCAGGATAGAAAGATACATAATAATTAAGTTAAATTATTTATAAAAGTTCCAGTCCAGGTAGAAATGGAAAATTAAGAACAGCATAAAGGCCACCCCAGTCTTCCCCATGAATGCCTGCAGGAATCAAGCAGGCAGTCAGCAGCGAGACTATCAAAGGCTGCCAGTTACTCTCTTTTTAGCAGGATTACCCAGGGTTTTGCTCCAGAGGAGGAAAGTTAAACTTAAATGCCACTGTCCCAGAATGCACTTAGTAGACGTGATGGCCTTTTGAGAAAAAAAAATAAAAAATAAAAAATTGTTTCTCCCCCAAAAGAACATAAAGAATAAAGTAAGGAATATTTGTCTTGAGACAAGCAACAGGAGAGGCTAAAACGGGCTTTTATATGTCGCGACATGCCGACAGTGTGTGCTCAGGCCCCAGCTCTATCAGCCAGCACATCTCCATCCTCCTTAATCACCTCCCCAGAGCACCCTCTGCTCCAAGGAGCTTTGCTTACATGAAAAATGTATCACCTTTGTGCCGAGCACGGAAAATAGATGAAGGCACTTAAATTCGTGCCTTTTAGTCTTGCAACTCCACGAATGTATTTTAGTTACTGATTACAAATGTTGGAGCTCCTCAAAGTGAACTTTCCAGTTGTCTCCCGTACGCTCTCCAGTGTGTATATAAAATAGCTTTAACTGAGACTCACATCAGCAATTTCGTAAGTGTTGCATTAAATCTAGACAGTGTTTTTCATCTCAAGACAGAGAAATGCATATTAATCCAGCAGCAAAGCAATGCAATGAGAATTTTAAACATTTCTGTCAGTATCAGAAAAACCATAATACATTCTTTGCTAGACGAGATACTGAGTCATTTTGGTTCATTTGGAGGCCATTTGCTAACTTTATTAGGCAATATGCAGATGATGGATTTCAAAAGGATATTCACTGTAGAAACAGGCTTTGTTTCTGAAGACAGTAATTAGGTTAACCTCATGAATAAACTCTTTATATCAGCAGCCTGTACAAAACGAAAGTAGAAAAATGCAGGAGAAAATGAGAAAGTAAAAAAAAAAATCATACAAATGGAAAAACTTAAATCTATCTACAGCACCCTCCGTCTCACACTTCAAAAACATTTCATATATGAACAGAAACGTCACTGGACCAGGTGTACCAAAATGTACAGTGTTACGGGAGTGACACTGATGTTATTGTGCTCATGGTGGTGGTTGTATATGTGTTATTACCAACGCGTTGTTTAAAGGTTGATGCAGACCTGTCCCACCACGAGGGCTCCCTGCACAGCCAGGGCCTGGGGCAGCAGCAGGGAGCAGGCCTGCGGCCACCTCAAAGCCCCCTTAGGAACACACTGAGGTAAATTCGCCTCATGGCGACCCACAGAAGTGTTTCTTGGTCAAGTGGGGCCTTCACTGGCCGCTCCTGGAGCCGCTGGTGTGCATCGAGGCCTGGAGGCCACCTCAGACAAGCCCAGTGCCACCAGGCCATGGGGACAACAACAGAGCTGTGGGGACAGGCCCTGCATCTTGCTCACCGCTGAGCAAGGAGCCACGGACACTTCAGACATTACACACGCTCGTTTGTTACAAGAGAGATGCTTAGTGGTGTGAAAAGGGGTGAAAGCTTGTAAAAATTGCAAAAGGAGACTTGAGTTAACATGGTGCGGTTCGGCATAACTTCTGCAGACTAATGTAAGCTAAGGAACAGAAGATACTCAACACGAGCAACACCTTCAGAACAGATAAAGGACATGGAAGCACTGGATCCAAGTCTAAAGTGAGCAGGAAAGTTCACGCTGGGGCTGACAGAGAGGGAATGGCAGCCCTGCTGCAAGGCTGCAGTGTCCACTGACTTCCAATGGCTACAGCCAACATCAATTACCCTGGTCCCAAGGGTCACGTTGCTTCACTAAATATCCAGAGATTTGACCTACAGAATTCATAACAGAAGGTGAAGGACAGAAGCACTGAAGAAAAAGGGTGAATCCCATTTCCATTAGACTGTTCACTCAGTGAATAGCTGTCTTTTCACCCCAAAACATCCAGTAATTGCTCCATCCTTAGCAAGGTTAGTTCCAAAACAAGTTTTTTTTTTTTTTTTTTTTTAAAGAAAAAAAAAGAAAAAAAGAAAAAAAGAAAAAGAGCATACAGACCTCAATTCACATTTCAAATAAGGTCATTTGACATCTTAGTATGGGCTTACGGCAAGAGCACACAGCCCACAGGCTTGTAACCCATTAGTTTAACCAGTACAAAGTGCACAGTGCTCATTACAAAGCCGGGACGAGCATTAAATACTAATGACCAACCTAACGGCCAACATGCCGTGAAGTGCGGACGCAAGGACTAGCAAAACCTGAGGTCATTTTAAGAGGCATTACAAAGGGTCTTAAGAAAGAGGTTGTTTTGATCATACTTCTATAGGCCTTCCCCTTCAGCAGAACAAAGCATTATATTACAGCACTAACAATGAGATATTTTTCCTTGAGTCAGCTTTAGAATAATGTTGACATTATAGTCAATACATTATATATCACTATATTTATGTCAGAACCTATTGGCATAAAAATAAATCAATCTAAATGCATAGCTTTTGTATTTAAATGAAGCCTGGCAATGCCATATCTTTACTTCAATTTTCACTCAGCTTCTTATGTGTGTATCAATCATTTCTGACAGATTTCATACACTGGGATATCACCTCTAGTCTCACTAAAAACTATTTTAAGTGAATTTTATATACAGAGACTGGAAAATCTGCTTTTGGGAGCTCTTTTTATAAGCAATACAGTTTTTGATAACTCAAGTTTTATTCTCGACCTCATTCAAGGTAAGCCTGAATTGCAGGCCAGCACACTGGTAAATGAGGGGCACCCCGAGTCAGCCAGGCTGCACTGAAGCATCAGCAGAGATGAACAAGCTGGTTTCCAGCTCTGGCTAGCAGGTTGTTTCACCCCAAAATAGTGGCCAGAAGAGATCGCCCAGTAACCATACAAACCAGTCCAGTATAGAAGAGGCACCATGTAAGCATTTTAAGAGAGATTTCCCCAACAGACTTCATATTGAGTAACAGACATAAGCTGATATGTTTTCATTGCTAGTCCATTAAAAAAAAATGCATCTAAAAATATAAAATATCCCCCCAAAATGTAAAGACAATCTGTAAGACGTTGACTAGCTCTGTGACTAAAGTAGAATATAAAAATGGCCGTAAGTCTTCAGTATTAAGTAGGTTAACCAATTTCCCATAAGTGACATCTGAGATTTTTTCAGCAATTTGCAATAGCCATATGTGACCCATTTCACCCAGGATGCCATAAGGCAGTTACTTCACTTACCTTAATTTGAAGTGGCCAGTTATGTTCAATCATCATTCCAGCTGACAAGAGAAATGCAGGATGCCAACTCCACTCTCTCTGAATTATTGACATTAACAGCTGTTTCATATCTACAGACAGAGCTTTGCAAACATGTAAACAAGTCAATTAATTATGATACTATAGTAAAATTGATTTTAATAATTTGAGGAACATCCTGATATTTTCAGATCTGCAGACACTATATAAAAATTAAAGATACCAGAAAGAGTAAAATTTGCTTGTTTGGAGGAAACAGAACAGGAACTATTTTCTTCCGTTTGCTGCAAGGCCCCACCTTCTGCGTGCAGAACAAAAAGACTCAATCCTAAATGCACGGATGACCTCAGATGGGTAAGCAGACTTACCATTGCAGGTCAGGTCTGCTTTCACAGCCCAGCTGGAACCTCTCCAGCAGCACTCCTCCAGCCCAATGTGACAATATGCACCCCAGAACCACTCAGAAACCCCTAAACTACTGCAATCCAACAAGCCTGTGCCACCAAAATGAGCTCTCAATAATGGGAAATTAGAGAAGTCAAGAGATCTTTGTGATGGGTACACCATGTCCTGATTGGAAAAGGGATTGGAAGTGCTCACCCTGCTCAAACATACACCCATATAGGAAATCACCAAGTTTGCAGCACTGTTCTCTATGGAGGACACGATTTAGGTCTTAACCTGTAGAATACAGGGACTTTTTTTGATCACTCCTTCCTTTTTGGGGCTTTTTGGATATAGTTGTTTTAAATAAGTTTATATATATAGCAGAAAACAAGGCAGGGATCACTTCAGCTAGAGACTTAAATCTATGTTGTTTTACGCAACATTCAGGTTACACAAAACACATCAGGTTGGGGTCAAAAGGATTTTTGCTGAGGATGCTAACGTTGCCAGTCAAGAGCTCCAGTTCATGGATGAAGACCATGGTTCAGCCCATCCACCAAACAGAAAACACAACAGCCACCACACTCACTGCGTTCATGTCTGGAGGAATGGCAGCAGCTTCAGTCATTTGCATCCTGGGCAGAAGCTCAACCAAAGACAGTTGTAATGGAGTCAGGGCAGCAAACTACAACAGTCTGAGGCAGGGGCCTTAAACATGCAGGTATTTCAGGAAATTAAGCATACACAGTTATAAATGCAGGGGTTGGACTAGATGATCTTCAGAGGTGCCTCCCAACCACAGTCATTCTGCAATTCAGCTTAAATATATAAATATATATATAATATGCATATGTGGGTGCATGCACGTGTGTATAGTTTGGTCACTTTATTACCCTACCCTATTTTACTTGCATGAGAAGAAATGAGTGACCTCTTCCTGCTGAAGACTATTGGTATTAGCATCTGCCTTTTGAAAGCAGCCTCCAGAATCAGGTAAATAAGTCACGGAAAAGCAGCAATTGCAGCCTTGAAATAAGACTTTTTTTTTCCTAGTGCATAAAACCTTCCTTGCATGTTGATGTTGCAGCAGTGACCTCTAGTGACAAGTACCCCAGAACAGGGGAGAGTTGGGATAAACTGCACTGCTCACATCTTCCCTCCCTTCTCCTGGTCCAGCTCCATCTCCCCTATGCTCAGAGGATGAGCAAACCCCATCCACAGCCTGCTCCACCATCTATCTGGTGAACCTGCCCGTGGCAGACCTGCTCTGCCTCTTCTCTTTGCCCTTGCTCATCATCAGCTACATGCAGCAGGACGCTGCTGAGAGTTTATTTTACAAAATCTGGAGGCCACTGGTGAACCCCAAAATTTGCCTGAACTCCCTCCTCTACTTTCTTTCTGGTCAAACCAACCAAGCCAGGCTCGCCTGGGAGCTGAGGCTGCATCGGGCTGGCCCCCTTGCCAGGCCTGCCGTGAACACAAAGGGGACAGGCACCCCAGTAAGACTCACCCCTTACTGAAGAAGCACATCCCAGCTGCAGATGCCATCTGCTTGGCTGGGTGCGAGGCTTGGAAAAGTCACCCAGCACTGGAACTGTACAGAAGACAAGAAAAGAAACTTCACTTCAGATTTCAAAAATCCATTTTCCCCTTTTCTGTTTGATGGTCAACCTGAATCCAAAATTATGCATCAGAAATTTGAAGCACCAACACAGCAGTGAGAAGAAGGCTCCATCTATTAGGGGAATGGGTGACGAAGGAACAAAAGTCAGACAGCTCCCATGCTCCACAGCCACAAATGGAAAAGCAAGGTAAAAAAATAATAAAAAATCAGTGAGCTGAAAAACCCTCAGGAAGGAAAGGCTGGGGTGTTTGGAGCTGAGCTGACACGGGTGTTACACCACATACAGAAGTGCACCGCAGTACTTCAGCAAGATGCTCAAGAGTACAGAGAATTTAGGAACTGAAAGTCTCAACAAGACATTAAGTTCCTCATTGCTGTCCTGCATGAAATGCTGATCCATGGGGAACAGCAGAAGTTGTCTATAATCATAATGTGTCAGTGCTAGACCAGGAGCAGAGATCTGCGACTGGCAGAAGCAGCTAGCTGAAGGAAGTGAGGAAGAGCAGTAGAACAATATCTAATTTCTTCCCTTCCCGAGAAGGACAAATGCACCAACCCAACAGCAAAGGAACCCGGGGGGAAATTTTTCCCTTGGATCCTCAAAGAGACGCTTCATCTAAGTATTTCTCAGGGGAAAGCAGAAATTGTACTTGTTAAAAAAAAAAAAAAAAAAAAAGTAAGTCAGTCTTAACTACCTCCAAGGGCAACAACACATCACAAAACAGTAAGAACAATACAAGAGCCAACATCCATTTAAAGCTTTTATTAAAAGAGACCCATAATTCACAAGTCTACAAACAAAAATCAACCAAGATAGTGTTTGGTTCTCTAAGGGAGCACAGAAAGCACCAATAAGAGTTCTCACAGGTCAGTGTACTGCTCCAGTTCAGAAGTAAGCTCAATCTGCCACTTTGTTTTCCTAGATTGCTCTTCAGAATACTTTACTATTAATTAAAATAGTCCTGGCTTAGTCTTTCACAAACCTGTTAGCCTTTTCAGAACATGAAAACAATCTCCACTTAGTCATATCTTTAAAAAAAAAAAAATCAAAACAATGAGTTGCAGAAGGGTTAAGTTACTGCAGGCAAAGTAATATAAATATAAATTTTTATTCTAACAAAATATTTTCTCTCCAGTCAAGCAACTTGTATAAATTTCTTAAGCACTGGGGCACACAAGAACCGCCTGAAGTCAGCCAAGAAAAGCTCACTCACCTCTGTGCACTTCATCATCTACTCATACAGCAGCTCTTCGCTCAGTGCAGCCAGTGCTCAAGAAAGCCAGATGCTCTTCCCTTTTAGAGTATGATTAGTTTAGTGTGAGAACTTATGTCCAATTACATAAGTGAGGCTTTATGGTTAACAAAAACAAAAGAATCTGATAAAGCACTCCGCAGGAGTTACTAAAAATTAGCTCTGTTCAGGAACAAGCCTTCCACAGAAATTACGGAAAAAGCGTAATTTTCATGATGAAATGTAACAACATTTTTCCAGAGTGCCAGAACTCTTTCCACAGTTTTCAGTGGCAAGCTCTTAAATACACCAATTTTCATGTTAATCATGACTTACATGAGGTTATTGCTAAGTCTTTGATCTAATATTAAATTCCAGGGCTCGTACTTTTTGAATAAAAGCATTAGAATTGTATAGTTCAGACTCTTCAGAAATAGTTGCTTAGACCAAAAATAAGAGGTAGTCTTCCCTCACATTTTCTACAATAAAAATGAAACAGATTGTTTTCAATATGGCAATAAAGTTGTCCAACTTGAGAAGTTAAATATTCCATGACTGCATCGACTCATTTCACAGCAACTTGGTTACCGCAGCAAAGCTTCCACACTTCAGCCATGGTTGTATACTGAGAGGAGATCAAGTCTCAGCTGTTGAGTTGAGCTACTCACTGAGTATTTTAGGGTGGTGTAGCACATGCTCACGGGTTCAAATAAACAGCCAGGTGATTCTTCCTCAGTATCTGTGTTATTTACCTCAAGGTGCAGAGGGGAGCTTAAGCCAAATACTTTAAAAATAGGGTCTATGCTTGCAGAAAAATGTGGTGCATGATTCTGCTTCTGCAGCGTTAGTTCTCAGTACTGGAAACAAAGTTGTGTGTGCAGGAACTTCAGTGTGTTTCTGCTTTTGCAAGTAGGGCAAGATGTTATTTCAACACGCTTCTGTGTGCCATTGTCGATAAATAGGAAGAATAATTGTCTGGTAGCTGCAAAAAATAAGATTAAAAACATGCATCATGAGGGGCATGCTCCTCAGCTTATTTGGTCTGATTCAATTCCATTTCCCTCATTACATTTTTAACTACCATTAGTGAGACTGTTTCTGAGAACAAGCATACATTAAGCATTCTACTCAGAGGTTAATGTGCTGGCTATTTGAAACAATAAACCAAGGTTTTGAAACAGCCATTTTAGACTTCTACTCATTACTACTAAAAACCCTACTTTGTTACTAATACCTGAGCGCCTAGTTTGGAGAGGTATTTATTCCTGAAACTAAAGTCATCAGCTTTTGGCCGTAATTTAGCCAAGTCATCTTCATTTTGACGTCTGAGTCTCTCTTGTTCTTCAGCTCTGGAAAAGAAAATTCATTTAAGAGACTTGCACTAAAGAGTGCAAACCCAGCAACTATCTTGCATACGGTGGTTTTATTTCCTATAAATAGAAATGCTTCTAATGTTTGTAGATGAATTTTGGATATTAGATTAAAAGAAAGCTGTGAATGAATTACACTAAGTGTAAAGAAAGAGAGAGGCTATTTTCTGCAGTTTCCTTTTATTTAGATTGCAAGACTTCAGTAGAAAGATAAATCTTTTGATTTCCACAGATTACAACATGCTCAATGAGCTTTTGTAAGAACAATTTAATATCCCTTTATTAAACAGGTCTTCTTCACTCCTTAAAATATAAGATTACAATACAAAAAGAATCGATTGTCAAAAACGCAAGTAAAAGA